GGAGGTCGCGCCGCGATTTATCAAATAAAAGCGGTAGTACAGTCAAATACCCGTCCATGTCGTCAGTGGAAGCGACAGTTCATTTTTAATATAAAGCGCGAGCGGGGGCGAGATCTTCCGGGATGCAGTGACAAAAAGAATATGGCAACTGCCCTGCCGAGTCACCTATCTCTGGATCTACGGATTCACAATAGGAAATATCTAATGGCTTGCGAAAGTTACGGCTGTAGATAATCTATCACGTGTTAAAGGCATATCTTGTTTGTCTAAGAGGTATCGGGTTGAACTGTTTCTTAAAATGAGGAATTGTCAGTCCATTTGTCATACCACAAGGCAAAAGATATTCTATATATAAAATTACATGAAACTCTTCAAAATATAAAAAATATTAGAAAAATAAATAACCATTTTTTCTATTGTCATGTGATATTCGTGATCTGTCCATCTCTCCATCCATCATAGCTCTCATCGTCTCTCCCTTTACTCTACGGCTCAAGTTCCTTTCAGATTCTCACTCCCATCCCGTGTTAACGCTTAAACGGTTTATAAACAGTTTGGCAATTTATTAAACTGACAGTTAGGATTTTTTAAATACAGATCGTGAAAGATCAGTGTGCTCGTGTTACGTAACTTTAAATTTTGTTTTTATACAAATTAGAGATTCTGGTCGTTTCTGTAAAAAAAATTTCTATATCTCGTCTAAATAATCGCATTTATATATAAAAAGAATCATTTAATATAAAAATATTGCAAAGCGGACAAGTGAGAGGATTACTCATGTTAGAAAGAATGTAAGTATTACACAAATCACAGAGAAATTTAGTGAAAGTAGATTTTACTTCCAATTAACGTAACTAAAAAAATATTAATATAATTCTTTCCGTTATACACTCAGAATTAGCAATAATTGAAGTGATTGTTAACAATGACACACTGGCTCATTTAATGAGAAATAAGATTATGAGAAATAATTTGAATAGCAATAAGATATGTTTATTTTTACGATTTATATAGTTGACCCTCTGCTGCATATGTTATCGCTTTCCTTGTAAATTTACACCTCTTTTCCTTTTACGAGTAGAATAACAGATATAGGAACCCTCAAATGTCTTTTATTCCCTACTAGAAAGGGGAAGATACGAAAAGCATGGCGAGAGATGTCTATCTGACAATATCGTCGCCATTCTAGAGAGCTTCACTTTCGAACATTTGCATAAAATTATTATTGTCGCAGAAAATCGCGGTTGTTTCACTTTCTTTATGGAACGTCGTAGAATATCACCGATTGGTTCGTATTACGTTCCTGATCATGTATGTATAATACATATATACATATATATATTTGCATTATATTATATTATCTTTTCCACAGAAAGAAGATATATTAAAATTATTTATCCTGTCATATCGAATATTAATAACATAAAAAAATCTATTTTTATTCTCCAAAATTATAACATACAATTTATAACACAATTTTATTAGGAATAAGAGGGAACGATAACAGAAAAGAAAGAGAGAGAAAGAGAGAGAGGGAGGGAGAGAGAAAGTACAACGATACGAACCCCACGCTTTTATAGCGCTCCATTTGGCGTAACAACGAGCGTGGAAACTTCTTTTAGTGCCGGGCTACAGATTCCGGGCCGAAACATGCGTACGATTATGGGGTTTCAGATTATCAATTTGTTATACCGTGTTTATTATTTGAGCTTTGTGCAAACGGGTGAGCCACCCGCATCTTGCTACTGCGAAACCCTCTGCTGCAGCTGTGAAGCGTCATACTTAGACGGTGTTTGGGGGATAATCTGGAATATTTTATGCAGCGTTATTCTTCCAGATGTTTTTTGTGCCAATGTGCAAGTTAAGAAGATTGTATGTATGAGAACGTATGAGAATTACGTTTCTTCCTTTCTATAATTCGTCTTGCCAGATTGAACGGACTCCGCATCGAATATTTGCAATCATCTCGCACAACGGTTGTTAACACTCCTCGCTATTTGAATGGTAGCGACTGTAACACATATTTGTAAGCATATATCAAACATATTGCGTACATATAATCTTTAATCTGTCGATTCTTTAATAAATTTAAAAGCAAAACTTATTTATTTAGTCACCGGTGATTTAATAACGATTAATAATAAGTCAATAATAAAATTATATTTATTTATAATATTATACTATATTATGAAGAGTATTTTTAATTGGAAGAACGTGATCAGTGCAGATTTATCATTTATATCAACGACGAATATCAAAAGATTATTTTCGGTGCATTTGATCAAACGTTGAATTTATTTTTATGAATATTATCGTTTTAAGACACTTTTCTTTCTCCATGAGCTGTGGCAGAGACAGCGGACTGTGGAATATCATAGTAGCTGGGATTTTCTAGGAGAGTTATCTCTAATTCAGTGAGGATTTACTTGCCAATGAATCTTTAAATTAGATGCTCCGTTCTTTTCGTACTGCGCTCTTCCCCGAAGGGTAAAACCCCGCTCGCTCAATCACCTATATCATGGAATCGCCAAGTATAGTCAATTCTTTCCACCCTTCTTTCGTTATCGAGTCTTTACGCCCTCCTTTCCCTCAGTTTCTCTCCGTTTACCGATATTTGTGTCTCGCCATAGGCTTTTAGAAAATCCACTCTTATATTCTCGTTCCCCCTCCGTTATTTTCACTCGGTTTGTACAAGTCTAAAACTACATCATAATTTTATTTAACAATTTTACGAACATCAAGCTGGACTATTAGTGACATCAAGTATCACCGCTATATTAATTAATGACGGAAACGTAGCCCGAGTTTAGTAAGAAGCAGTTCGGCCACGAAAATGGCCGTCCCGCAGGAGGGTGTAAGACGAAGGACGGAAGATAGCGGCATGAGGATGATGATAATCCAGCTTCTAGCCTAGTCCTATCCCGAGGGATGCAGGGATTAATTGACACATCGGCGTCTTGGAGGAGTCTGCTGGGTTGACGCCTCTGCTTTGGCACCCACCGACGTGACTGATGAGACGCCTGGAACAAGGCGTCGGGAAAAACACTCGTAGATTCGTGGCTTTTTTGTAGAAAAGGTATCCAGCAAGAATTACCGACGAAGCATAGAACGTCGGTCGCGCCTCTTCTCCTGGCAAATAACTCAACTAATCAGACCACGTTCTCCTTCATCGTCCCATCCACGGCGTTTCCGAACTAAAACATCTCAGCTGGAGGGCACGTAGATGTAACAGATTGAAATTTAATACGAGCAGCATGGTGACACATACGAAAAGACGAGATGTTACTTAAGGTTTCGTAGGACACACCATCCTCATAACGGAGATAGCGTCGCCGCGCCGTCTTGGAATTCATTAATGAGGGTTCGACAGTTAAAATCGTATAATAATGAGATAATGAGTTCAATTTCTGTTGGCTATAATTCATGGAGCCTTTAGATATGATTAAAACAAAAAAAAGGAGACGTGTACCTTTGAATAAACTAAGATAAATTTAATCAAAGACTGAACAATAAGTTCAATATAAAATTTTTATTATTATAATGTTATACTACAGCACTTTTGTACCTATGTTTTAATACCACAAGACGTAATTTTTGTAATTATACATTTAGAAAATTAGATAAAAATTTGAGTAGATATATTTTTGTACGCTCTCATTGTCAGAAGTATAATCATAAAGAGGTGCATGATTATTATATATAGGCTCGCAAATCACAAAGAGATGGCCGAGGCAGCGCGCGATAAGGGATAACACGGTAGTTGAAAGCAAAGAGCCGACGTGTACGAGGCGTCGGTGGCGGCACCCCATGTGAGTTATGGCCGTCCCGACGCTCTCTCCCGCTAGTCCTGGGCTCAATTTACAGATGATTCCGCGTGTTACCGCCTGGCCAGCGGCTGGTTAACCTCCGTGCCAAACACTTAATCTTCCGACGTGTCCTGCGGACGGACCGACCACGTTTTGGAGTCGGCACGACGTTAAATCGCCGTTGTAGACGCAAGATCGATGTGAGAAAGAGAGAAACGGGGATAGATAAATAGACCAAGACGTTTGTAGGGTCCCGGACGTTGCCGAACGGTGACCCTAGTGGCCCATAAAGTTAGTCAACACTTATTCGGATTGTATCCCTATCTACTATTATTATATGAGCTTCAATGACGTGTGGAGTATCATGTAATTTATAGTATAAATTAATGCACAAAAAAAAACGATATAAAAAAAGTATAATCTACATATTCCGTTTATTATTATTTATTACATTTGATAAAAGTATAAGTAATTAAAAATCTTGCGAATTAATTTCGCTGTGCTAAGTCGAGAAAATATGTGTGGCCATTCGTTTTCCGAACAACTTGTTAGCTATTGTAAGGCTATCGGAGACCAATAAATTCGTATCGCGAATCTCTCCATAAATTTATCGGTTGGTTCTCGATTAGCTTCGCAATAACCAACAAGCTGTTGGAAAAATAATTGCTGCGGATATCTTTCAGACATGACACACATAGCGAAGTTAATTTACGACATGTTTATTTCGTACAGAATAAGAGTATTATACAGGATTTCATTAAGTCTTCATGTATATTAAATGTAATAATACCTAAATGCAAGACGTAAATAAAGTAAATAAGGAACGCGTACTTTTTGGCATATGACACATTAATTTACATATATAATTGTAAATTATACAGTACATTGTAAATTACAAATGCGCGAATTGTGCAAATTAAAAAGCATGATTCTATCCAAAAGCTGTATGTTGATTATTCGCTTTCGAAATTTAAGAGTTTTCGAATTTTACTTCATCTGAATACCATATTTTGTTCAGATGACAATATGTCATCGTTTAAAGAAAGCGAAGGGATAGAAATGAGCATATACCATAAACCCTGTCATAATTTGTTATGTAAATATTTGTAAATGTCTATAGTTATCTGTGGTATTGACATGTTATGTATTCCAAATGTGCCACATCAGTAGGATAGGAACGACTTGAAACTGTTATTAGCCGTCGGATAGGCACCCCATGGTGAACCACAATGTAGCGGTGAGGAGCCAATAGACTCCTAACGTTGTAAATGGCATGCCGAATCCTAATGGCCACGTTAATTGACATTCACGTTTGTCACTACATTTTTCTGACAAACTTTCTTTATTATGTTTGCTCATTATAGATATTGATAGACATAATAAAGATCAGTAAATCTATTTCTCTCAATTCTCGACTCGCTAAAAGGTTTTTAAGTATAATTTAAATAATGAATGTAATTTTCAAGTAATGTAGTTTAAATCAACAATGAAATTTATAATATCGATCAGTTTACCCTTTACATTTATCATTTATAATTAAAGAGATTAAATAAATATTTAGTTTTAAAATTATTAATTATAATTATTGTTAATAAATAGGAAAAATAATTGATACAAGATATGATAATTTTTTGATAAATATAGGTATAATAATTATAATGACTTCATAGTGATGGTAATTGAAAGATTCCTGTATTTCATTATTTTGTAAAGCTTTAATATTCCAAAAACTGTTTCTTTTGTTGACAATTATGCGACGACTGATGAAACTAAACAGTTTCAAATACAAATAAGCAAAAAGGATCATTTAAGGTTATATTTGTTTGCTTGATCGGGCATGATCTTATTCATTTATTGGTATTATCTGGGTTAATTTTCTTACTATTGTTTAAATAATTTGGTGACTTACCTTGTTGATTACTTTTCCTAGTAGTTTTCTTTTCTTTCATCCAGGGATACTCAGGAACGTTGACACCCGAGGGGTCAGCGACACCATGGGGATCCATCATGGTATGATACGCGGGATGATGAGCACCAGGACTGATGGAACCACCGGTCCCCGGCGAATGCGCTAGGCTACTATCCCCAGCTAATTGTGGCAATGCCGTCATAAATTCAGCCATAGAAGGCTGACTATTGATGAAGCCGGTTTCGGCGGATCCACATGTTGGATCCATGACTGGATGGTGGGTTCCGTGCGGGGGCAGCCCGGCTGGGGTACTTGCCCCCGCGGCCACCGTGGCCAGCCAGAAGCCGCCCCCTCCGTCGTTCGCCAGGACGGGTGTCGTCGGCCTCGTCTTCACGGTCGATAGCTCTTTACTCGCGTGGACCAAATTCTGAAGATGATTGCTGAGCTGCAGATTGCGAGAGCTGGACAATTGCGGTTGGCGCGGATCTTCTTCGGGGACCAACGTTTGTTGCTTACTACGCATGGGACAACATGGACTTGTAGTATACGTTTCTTCTGATGAATGTAGCAATCAGAGAATGACTTGTAATTAATTGTTGACCGTGGAATATCGACTAATCCCTTTTTCACGATGTCTCTTTTATGATGTAATTTCAAAACGTGCAGCCTTTGAAAAACACCCTATGCACTTAAATTCACTCGATAAATGTCTCACTAAAAGTTTCGTTTATTCTTCAACTTTCAAAATGTATGTATATAGATCTATTATGTATTTATATTAAAACATCGCATTGCCATTAATGTGGAAATTCGTTAAGCTAAAATTTGTTTTTAAGAAGACCAAAGAAAAGCATGGATGTGCTTGTATAAGGAGCCTATAACTCATTATTTTATTATTATTTCTTTCATAGATTGTCATTAATATACGTATAATGCAAAACATTATTCATTCTTTACTTTAATAACACAAAATCAGTTACTTTTCTCTTTCATATAAATCTTTTATGCGAAGCATCGATTTTTCCTCGGTTACACTTATTACTTACTTGCGTTATGGTTTATGCCAAGAGGTACATCGATCAGCAATTGGTTAATTACAATTGTTTAGTACATTTTCATTACACACTGTGATACCCACTATAATATATTATCATCTGCATTATCATGATATCCGTATAACTGTATATCCGTATTCACCTTTTTTTTTTAAATGAACTAACTGGAGTAATCTGTGTGTCTCATGATATTTAATCTAACGTCAACGAGAAGGAAATTTTTGGACCACGCCGCGAACATGACACTGCTTACTCGAGGTCGACATAGCGTCGGTCGACAACAGATCCAATTCATAGATCTGCCATCTCAATGCGGAAACAACCAAGCACAGATCACCACTGTCACACGTAGCCGCGACGGGTTGATCGATAGTCCGACCGATCGACGGAGAACGCCGTGCCGAATCGCGCGTACCGCGACTGCTGTTCGACCGTGCCGATCGGCCGAAACCCAGACAAGCGGGCTAGGGTACACACCAAGCCAGTCACCGATCGCGGTATACTTGCTAAGTGACGAAGGAGTGAGAGGATGTAGAGATAGTAGCCGAGGGAAGGTGGGGGTCCGACAAGTCCGTGGTGGAGGTACCTGCCAAGCGAGAAGGTGCGGCAGAAGAGGCGAAGGACGTCCCGTAGAAAGAGACGGCTGTCTCCAGTCGCCAGGACCGAAATTTCCACGATCTTTTTCGCCTCTCCGGTGTTCCCGGTGTCTCTGTTGTTACTGCTGTCTCTTTCCTCGTTCCGGGAGGGGGCGGCTGGGAGTCCACTTTGGCATCGAGGTGGAAGTCGTCCTTTAATGTGGCGACGGCCCGATCACGTGACTTCGCTCGTCGGAATGGAGCGACCAATCGTGGAGCGGTAACGCGAGTGGTGAGGCACAGCCCTCCGCCGACGTAGGCGGGCTGGCCTGTCGTGGCGACGGTGGCCTTGGAGGGCTCGGAGGGCACACAGCCAGGAGGGTACGACGACCAGGTCCGTGCCGTGAGAGTGCAGGCGGGCGACTCTCGTGCGGACGAGCACGAGGCCCGTTTGGGCGGCCACGGTTACCCGGCGCAACTGTGGGCGGTACGCGCGAGCGCGTCGTTCGGTATCCCGCCAAGTGGTGGGGAACCTTCTCACGTGCTCGGCCACGCGGTCCTCTACCTTCGTTGGACGATCCTTCGAATCGAGGTACGAGGTAGTCTTTCGCTTTTATTAACCCACCAATGATACTGCGAATTCATTGTCAAGTTCCGTGAGAAGACCGGAAATGTTGAAAACAATTTGTCAGATTATTTATTCTCGACACATTCTATTTTGTCCTGGAGCTAGTCCAACCAACAATGCTTCTTTTCTTTGTAATTTGACGTACAATAATAACAACAGAATAATCTTCGAGTCGAATGTTATTCTTTCGGGGAAAGAAATGGTCTTTTCGGGTAACCTGCTTTTCTTTCGGAACAGAAATGGTTTTTTGAGTCGGGTATTATTCTCTTGAAATAATTTAATGATTTGTAATTGTAAAACACACAGAATATTTAATTTATCTAACTGTATTTATGAATTATCATATACGATTATCCATTAAGATATTTTACTTTTGTTACAAATCCCATGTATATAGAGTTTAACAATCGCCTCAGTACTCTGACAAACTACTGGCCCAATACTGATTAAGTGCTGAATGATAACTTGAGTCCAGGTATTGGCAGATGGTACTGACTTATTTGACAATCAAGACCCAGTATACTGATTGACAGAATCTTTGCCGTCAGTTGACAGTCGTAGCGTTGGTTTCGTTGTGTGACGGTTATAGTGACCTACTACGGCGACTCTGTACGGGATGCAGCGCGGTTATTTTTCTTTTTATCTTGGTCTCGTTTATTTATTTACTTATTATTTAGAAACAGGAAATGTGTCGACACAATACAAGAAAACTTTCAGTTATCCACTTATAATCGATCCATGTACCTATACATTATTGGGGAATGTAAATTGTTATATTTCTATACATATATATTTATATCATGCAAATATGATGTATACAGGATGCTTCTTCAAAAGCGAATTTGGTAGGTTCATGGCTCGAATGCACCCGTGTCGTTATTGCAACGGTCAGAATTGCTGGGGGCGCGCCGACTGGCATCGCGACGGTTCACCGTGGAGCAGTTTTGATGACAGATTACCCTGATCCGCTTTGTGGAGGAGCTTTCATTTAGACAGGCAGTTTGATTGAAAAGTTCACTGTCGCTACCGAAGAAAAAATTTGTGCCACTACCCTCATCGAGTGATGCGTGTAAAGCAAGTCGTTTACTTGCTAGAATCGATCCCTTTCAACGTGAGACGATCACATTCATCGTGTTCTACATGTTGCAACAGTTAAACGGTACATTTATATGTACCTCACGTTGCAGTAGAGTGACGAGGATAAAACTTTCCAACGTTTTTGTATTCGCATATTAGTTCTTTATAACTTTATATAAATTTTAATAATAAAGTCCAAGATTTAAAATAAATATAAGCAGCAGAAATAATAAAAATAATTATGACAGTCTAATGAAAAATATAGAGAGAGATATTAAAGTTTAAAAAATTGTAAAAACGTTTAGAAAAGATTATTTTATCGGTAAAAGAAAAAAAAAATATATTTTAATTATTTTGTGTACATATAATCGTATTAATAATTTATTCAATTGCGTCAGTGGGTTAGAAGGAAATTTCTGAGGGTAGGAGGTGGTAAGGGTGTCAACCATTTCGGAGCGCGAAACGGGCGCGGATGGTTTATAGAGAGGAGGTGAAGAGGACGACTAAGCGGGAGGGTAACGGAGAGAGACGAGAGAACGGAGAACACCCTCCACATCTGCCACCAGATTTAACTATACATTACAGACACACGATATGTCAAAGTCCTATACTTCATATCGACTCTGCCATTTATTAAAAGTTTCATCGCGCGCGCCACGCTCGCGCGCCACCGATGTTCGGCAGAGCCCGACCCCTTCTTTCAAGCGCACTCCGAAAACATATAAGAAGAAAGGCCCGAAATATACGAACGAAAAGTTCGAGAAAAGAGAGCGACCGGGGGGGAAAAAAGGGGTGCGCGTTCCTCAGATCGACACAGTTGCAGCGCGCTCTTCGCTTGATGAAAGCGACTAACGCTATCTTTCTTCGACGATTCTTTATTTTACTCTCTTTGCCGTGTAAGGCGGAGTTTCCCCGATAACGGATTCTTCGGGAGAACTGCGCGCAGCGATAATTTTCACCGTTTGAATTTTCTCTACATTCGTTTTATATTAATCTCAAAATAATTCGCCGCTCTCAGCGCTCTCCGCATCATTTCCAAAGTTGTCATCAAATTCTTTTCCATCTTAAAGCAGCACACGTTGCGCTCTGCAATATTTTGTCGAGAATAATAAGTTATATTTGGAATAATTCTGCGCACCGCGAAAAGCTTAATGCCAGAAAAATAAGATCCTTTCGAGCTCGCCCTTTTTGCGACGACCGCGGAATTTCTGCGTGTCGGATCTTTGCGTTTCCTCTCCGGCTGCTGCCGATTGCGAAATGAAGTTTTATATTAAGCTTGGAGAGTTTTCTCTCTCTTTCTCTTTCTCTTTTATTCCGTGCGCACGTCTATCTCTCTCTCTCATCGCTCATTTTTTTCTTTTCCTCTCACGCTCGTCCTCGCCCTTTATGTATTTACGTACCAATAGATCGTTATATCGGCGTTTGCATATATATTGACGTTGCTTGTCTTTTCTGCGTCGACGCGTGATATACATGTTATAGGGTGTACGAAAAATGCGCACCTGCATCTTTGCAATAATTCAAATATTCGTCATTACAACGGCTTAATAATAATACTGCGTATATCGAGTGACACAATTAGACAATTTTATCGTAATATAAATAAACGACAATTCAGTTGGAATATTTTACGAGAGATCTGAGTGAATTACTTAATATTTACTAGGTCATGGTGCTGCTTTCAACGCGAGTTGCTATATAATTATAGGCGAAAGAAACGCGCGTACTGAAATAAGTAGCGTTTTCCACCATTAAAAGTAAATCATCTTTCATCGCCATCTTAGCATAGCAACCGGCACGAGTCCACGAGTAGGGCTCGACCTGTCAATCTCACCGGATCACTGAGACGGGTCCTTTGCCGTCCTTGCTTCACTGGAAAGGAGAGCCTCGCTTTTCGTACCTAAAACTCCTCCCCCCACTTCGACCCTTCCAACTTTTTTCTTCTTCGTCGTCTGGGGTAAAAGCGAACTCGTTAGACTCCAAGTGAAATTTTCTCTCGTCCCGCTGGGTAGCTAGTATGCCACCGGAAATGCTATAGAGCGCCTACTTTCACTACCGCTTCTTAAATTCACCTTTCTTGTCGCTTATCACGTTGCTTTGAGGATCGATTAAAAATTGTTGCTCAGCTTAATATGAAGAAAGTTTTGACTAAAGATCAAGTTTTTATTAAAATGCGATTCAATCAAAC